CAAAGAATGGTTATAGAGAATAATTTCTTACTGTATATGAAAGATTTATCTGATTCCCAGCTTAGCATTTGACTGTTAATTTTAAACATATATGTGTGTGTGTCTTGTCTTTTTGCAGAGTCTCAGCTATATCCAGTTGGTGTGGCAGGAAATTATTGTTGAGAACCATCAAGACAGTAATACTGATCTATACAATGGGGCAGTGGAGGCTTTGTATACTTTGGTGGGTATGTGATCCTGTAGTATTATATTTGGAGTTCCACTTTTGTGAAAGTTAATTACTGCACATGAAATGAAATTATTTCCCATATTGAGTAGGTACATACTGTGTGTAAAGTTGCTTTATTGACCGTTTTATTATTGGTGCATCCCATAGTTTGTAGTTCATAGACATGGCTGTGATTGTCTGAAGTTGATGCAGTCAATTTGGAATATGCTAAATTTTTTGCTAATATTTGGCAATATGGCATAGTTCAGGAATTTGTAATCTTTTTTAAAATAATAGAAAATGGAGTAAATGAAACAATATTCCCTGGGTAAGTGGCAGTTTTTTGAGCACACATGTTCCTTTTTAAATTGGGACAAGAATTGTTAACAATATAAATTAACTGTACAGCAGTGAGTCTGAAGATGGCTGTCTTCTGGGTTGTGCCATGTAGTCTGGTAGAAGTTTACCAACGTTTCAGCAGTTCTTGCTGCCTCCATTGTCAGGGCGATATCTTCTTGTACTCTTTGTGCTCCTCTTCCTTTATATGTATTTTATGAAAAAAATATCTGCTGCCATGAAGATGAATTTAGTTCTCAACTATTTTAAGGAATGAATGGATTTGAGAAGAACATTGCATACATTCATACATCTTTATTACATTCATGGATCCATAAGATAGTCAGATGACAACAGGATGTGGAAAAAGTCATAATAATAATACAATACATATTACAAAGTACAATTTATACTATTATATAAATTTCGCATAATACAAACAAAGAGTTCACCTAAAGTAATGATAAGTTACAAATAAATCTACCCATTACATACAGAAGATAAATTGTATTTTGATGCCATCTAATTTTTTAACACTTTAGTTGGCAGTCTTTATGAGGACATGGTTGTAAGCAGCAGAGTGGCAACAACATTATTTCATTCTGGTTCAGTGTTAGAAAAATATTATTGATGTTATCTTTTCATGTTATCTTTTCATGTTTATTTTACATTTTCTAAAGAATATCAATAGTGTGATTACAAAATTTTATCTTTATAATTATAATGGTATATTAAGCAAAGCTACTGCATGACACTTCTTCCTTTCCATTTTCAAGCATAACAGCTGCAGCTGTTAGTCTTATTTGTACAAATATGCTTTAAAGCAGTGGAAGTTCCATTAGAGATTTGTTTGCAGTTCATTCAGGTTGTATATTAAAAATATTTTACTTATTATATGCAAATTTATTCTGCAAACCAACTGTCTTATAGTTCTGTTATTGATGTCTCTGTAGGCCCCACTTTTGGTATGAATTCTGTTCCATTTCACTATATGTAATTTTTACAAACAAATTTTTGTAGGTTTCTGTTTTTATAATTTGTGAAAACCAGTGTGTATCCTTGTAAAAAAAAAAATTATTCAGAAGGGGAAGGAAATTAGGCTGTCTGTCTGTATTGCCCAGGTGCAGCTACATCTCTGGGCCTTGGTTGGTTGCACTTTAACTGGCATATATTGGGTGAGGCTACCCTAGCAGTTTGCTCAATCATTGAAGGTGTATTGCTCATCATGTCAGCGATGACCAATTCCATGATAGTAGCATATATTCTGTATGTCTTATTTGGAGTCATCTACCACACTGTAATTACTGTTGCCAAGTAAGTTTAAAACAATATTAAAAATATATTAAAATTTTTTTGCCATCAATCACAAATATAATAATGTTAAAAGATTAAAACATCATTTAACGTTAAATGATGTTTTAATCTTTTAACATTATTATATTTGTGATTGACGGCAAAAAAATTTTAATATATTTTTAATACTTATGAATCACAATATGACGCATTTACAATATCTTAAAACAATATGTACAATTTTAAACCTCAATTTAAGTTGTTTACTTGAGTAAGAATGCTGGATTAATGAAATGTTGAAATGAATAATTACATTTTATTGTGACTTGAACCTAGATTTACATTTGTGTGCAGTAGAGTATACAAACAAAAAGGCCTAAGATCTGTCATAAAGGATTTGAGGACTATACATTGTGTGGTACTGGTGTTTCTTATTCATTGAGTGTTAGCTGAGATGCTGTAGTGTGTAGTTGAGTTCAAGTTTTTGAGATCACGTGCATGTCCTTCCTACAGCATTTCATAATATGTGGACATTTTGTCAGAATCTGAGGGAATGATGTTGCATACATCGTGGGTGCCTACAGTTCTATTTACAATTAAATTCTACTTCATTATAAAGAAATTAATTACCTCTTTTTATGGAAAGCCAGATAAGGATTGAAAAAATATCTTGAATTTTAAATGTTATGTAAATTGGCATTTCACTGTGTAATGTTACCTGTGTTTTAACACTTCTGAAAATAAATATTTAAGCACCATGTTTTGGTTTGATGCCATATAACCTATGTAGCTGATGAAGCATTATTAATATATAAAACAGAAACAGGATCAACTCATGAATCAGTACTTTCACAGCATGAAACAAGTGACACTACTGTTGTTCTGGATTGTGTTGCTGTGTAGACTTGTAAGTAGAGATAAATACCCGTGAGACTACATGGCATCACATCCCAGAATAATATCATCTTCATCACTGTGAGATCCTCAAATTTCACATGAACTGCAAGGACCTATATTTCAGAAGCCAAGAACTGTAAGGATTTCACCATTTATGTCGTACCTTTATTTTTACATTTTATGACCGTATGAAAAAGTTTCTGTAATATTGTAGCTGTTTTTGTAGACATATGTAATGAAAAGTAAACAGATTTGGCATCTCTGCATTTTGTCATTTAGGGGAGTTGTTACTGTCTACTTTTGGACTTCTCATGAAGGTATATTCCTTAGTAATGCAGATTTGGGTCATGTCTATTTCTTGCATTCATGTGCTATTTGTCACTTCCAGGAGAAGAATGTACTGTACTAAATAATGTATTATTTGTTTAACTTATATTTAAGCTTTCTAGGCTCAGCTTAAGGACAGAGCTTTCATGTAGTTAGGAATTTCTAAATTGACAATATATTGCAGAAGTTTTAAAATATGGAATAAAATCTGGATGTAATTTGTTATGCTCCTAGGTGACAGATTTATGAAGTAGTGATACAGCAGTAAGAGTGTTTGAGTGCTCATCTGAATACATCTGTGAACATGGATCATTTTGAATCTTTTTCTTATGTTTTTTAGTACTTCCAGTCTCCTGTTTATAGTCTATTACATTTGTTTTCATATTTTATCAACAGTGCTGAGGTTGCAAAAAACATAAGTGAAGACAGCTATGGCCTTATCTTCGGTGTGAACACCTTCATAGCTCTGGTATTCCAGTCCATCTTGACACTAGTTGTTGTCAGTGATGCAGGCATGGCGTTGGAGATACGTCCACAGGTCAGAGATGATGATAAATCTTCTAATATTGTTTTCTCAAAAGAATAGAAATTTGGAGTACAGTCTTGTCTGTTTTCAGTCATGTAATTTTTTCAGACAGTTTTAAACCTGAAGGAGCAGTTTTCATGGAACTTACATACACAAATTTCTACCATGTTTACACTAGCCTTATGTTTGCTTAGATCCCTGTTTAGCAAAACATTTCTGTTAGAAATTTCAGTGCAGGAAAAAGTTACAGAAACAATCTGTTAATATAAATTCCTATTGCGAATTTCTGTTCACCAACTAAACAGTTCAGTTCAGATAAGCTGGTGACTATATAATATTATACCTTATTTGTCTGTATTGTGTTATGTAAAGCATAATTATTGGTGTGTCCATGGTTTGTTTATATATTGGAAGCATGATTAGACATCTGTAGGTGTACTGAAAGATGTTATTTCCTTATATTCCATTTACTCTTGAGGTATCATAGTTCAGAGGTGATGTAGACAGGTAATTTTAATTGTAATTGTAGCTCTGTGTTTGCAGGCTATCAAGTATTGCTAGATTAGTAAAATGTAGGATGTTATATTGGACTAGGCTTGAAGATGGCCGTCTTCTGGGTTGTTGTTCAGTGGAGTCTGGTAGAAGTTTACTGACGTTTCAGAGGTCCTTGCTGCCTCCATCATCAGCCCGATGAAGACCTCAAATCCTACATAGACTAGTCTTGTAGTTAGCAGAGAGACACAGTTCATGGAGAATTTTGATGACAAATTCTCTTTAAAATTAGCCACTTGAAGACTACAAAGAAAATGAGAAAATAGCATTAAGATAGATCTTGGTGAAGTAGGTTTTGAGATGGGAAATGGATGTAATCATCAGGATCTGCTACCACAGAGTGTTAATTAATTAGGTGTTTATAAATGTTTATTAATACAAGATCATACCTCAGTTCAAGCTAATGGTTCATTTTGCATTGTAGTTTGTGGTTTATGGTGGGTATTTCTTGGTGCTTGGTGTCATATTTGGATGCATGGCTGTCAACACGCTTTGCAACAAGGAAATCCGCAAGCAGAAGCTGTGGTTGCCAAAGGAAGTAATGACATCTGAATCACAAAATTAAGAAATCTAAAATTTCTGCAGTGAAACTAAGAAAAGTTCTGAGTGATTGCTGGTTGTAGATATTATATTAGTTCAACAAAAATGAGTTTATATTGTTGGAGGCACTTTTTTAAGGTCTTAAAACATTAAAAAATTATAATAGTATGTTGCTAATTTATGTAATTGTTAACTTATTATATATTAATATATTTGTAAAGTATACTAATTATTTTTAAACATTATGAATTAGTGTGTTGGCACTTGAAAAGGATGTTTTCATGATCTGGCACATTTAATAAGATGTCCAGAATTCTTGGGCTTCAGCTACAGATCTCATTTGTCTCAGCATGGAGCCAATTAGAGATAGAACATAACAATGAGACAAAGAAACTTCACTATTTGTTGACCTTATATTCGCTTTATTGTGGGTTTCATTTGTTCTTTCTGGCATGTTATTTGAGATGGACATCAGTAGTTTGATTCATGTAACAGAGGCTCAAAGAGGGTTTCATCTACTTTAATGATTACCTTGTATACTCTTGTTTGTTTGTTTATTTTTGAAAGTACAGAAGCAAGTTAAATTCCCCACAATGGGACTTGGTTCATTGAAACCCTCTGATTTGGCTTCAGTTTTGCAGAATGGCAGTGGTTCCTCCTCTAACTTCCTGGCCATAATATTAGGTGTTGACAATTTGTAATACACAGTTTTATTGTACACTTTCTTTACTGAGTTCATAAGGAATGAGTTCTTTATTTATTATTTTGGCCCCAATGGCCATACTCTAATTAATGTAATATACAATCAAGTTATTTATTTTGGCCTTGAAGATGCAGTTGTCTAGACTCTTTTACAGACAATGGGAATGTATGTAAGAGAACTAGTCAGAAACATTCAAGAAAGAGCAATTAAGAGAAATAGTATGGATACCATACTTGTTAATAAAATCTCTTCCTGTATTTTCTTCACACAGATGAAGATACAGATTGAGTAGACTGTCGTTGAAAGCAGTTGATTCTTTTGCTGAATTGTTATAGTTTTAAGAAGTTGCCTTCAAATTTTATGTGACTAATGTAAAATAAGTTTGAGTTATGTCATAGAATGTCCGCATTAAATGTTAATAGATACCATTTGGCACTTCCACGCATGGCATACATATTTTAATTTCATTTGTATTTTCTGGAAGCTTGTATTATCTTGAAAGAATCATTTTATAACAGCAGCACAGTTCTTCCCAGTAAAAGTATAGAAGTTACAGTATTATTATTATTGATGTCCTTATTCTGTACTGGTGTCAGAAAAGATATAGGCAGCAAGTAGGGTTTATTCTTACCTTTAAGAAGATATTACTGTGCTCAAATGTCAGTGTAATACAAGCTCACTGGTTTTTATGCAAGCAATAGCTATACAGGTGTTCATAAATAATTTATTAATATTTATAAAATGATTCATTTTGATGTTATGTGATTTCTCATTTTGAACAGGGTTTTTTATTTCTTTTTCTTTAGAGCATGTAACCATTAAGACAAGAAGTTGAGGATATATAACAGGTTTATTTTATTATTGTGGTATGTAGATTTTTAATTATGGTAGTTTAACCACCTGTTACATACTACTTAATGTATTAACTGTTATTTGTGTGAATGGTGTCTACTTAGTACTTGTAAGAAAGTTCAGAACTCTCGGGCTCTGTAAAATACTAGAAATGCACTGGCTTCATCATTATCTGTTATATACATAACACATAATTTCATATATTTCTGTTGTTCTGTGGCATAAACAATTGTATTGTGTTTGAAACATTTTATATTTTACAGATAGTACAGTTTTAGTGGTTATATTTAAATGTTAAAACATTGCAAAATCATTCAACTTAGAAAGAAAATACCAGTAATATTTTTGAGCCACTTGCAAGCAGGAGCTCATAACAAGATAGCTCTTACTACCAAAACACAGGAACTAGAACAAAATTATTGAAGAAAGAAAAGCATGTAGATTTAATTCTTAGGGGAAAGATTTTAAAATAAAATATATATGTTTTCTGGATGCTCTTATCTTGATTTATATATCTGTTGTACATGCATGTCATAAATTTGTAGAGTGACCAATGTGTGCAAAGAGCGAGAACACGAGGAACAAGGCATTTCATTTGGAACGCCTGGCAAGAAGCACGACATCCCTAAGCGAATAACTGAAATAGACAACTTTGATAAATGTGTTGTTCGGCACACCATCCATAATTTCTATGCACGGGAGGGAACTGTTCCAACAATTGCTAAATTACTTGTAAAGCTCAAAGAGAACATTGATTTTAAAGGAAGTTGTTCAAGCCTCAGAAGAATTGTTAGGGAGCTCGGTTTTAGGTGGAAGAAAACCAGGACAAACGGGGGTGCTCATTGAAAGGCACGATATATGATCTATGCGCGTATCGTACCTGACTGCACTAAGAAAGTACAAAGCCGATGGACATCCAATCATATTTGAAGACGAGACTTACATTCATGGCAGCCATACCAGACCAAAGAATTGGACTGACGATAATGATTCCGGTTTGTTGGCGCCAACATTAAAAGGTGAGAGACTTATCATCGTTCATGCTGGAGGAAGAGCAGGCTTTATTTCAAACGCACTTCTCATATATAAATCTAGCCAGAAAACTGGAGATTATCACAATGAAATGGACAGTAAAAATTATGCCTGCTGGTTAAAAACAATGCCAACACCAAACTCTGTTCTGGTCATTGATAACACCTCGTATCACAACTCTCAGATAAACAAACCACTGACATCTAACTCAAAGAAGGACGAAATGAAAGCCTGGCTATTGGAAAGAAACATCCCGTTTTGTGACATGTTGAAAGCTCAACTGTATGATTTAATCAAATTAAACAAGCCAAAGCACAAATGTTATGTGATGATCAGATTTTGGCAGACAAGGGGCATACTGTGCTGAGACTTCCGCCCTACCATCCCAATTTAAACTCCATTGAACTTATTTGGGCAAATGTAAAACAATGGGTTGCAAGCAAGAACACAACATTTAAAATTAAGGACGTCGAGCAAATGTGTCGCCAGAGATTCGAAGAAATTGGGCAAGAGGAATGGGAGAATGTATGTCAGCATGTGGAAAAACTAGAACAAATTTATTATGAGCAAGAAGGTATAATCTATTGGACGCATTATAATTGAAGATAATGGAGTGGACAGCAGCAGCAGCAGTTATGAATCGAGTGATATGTCAGAAAGTGAAGGTCTGTCAGGAGTGGTAGAATTGGAAGAGGACTAAAGAGTTGTGAAGAAGATAAAATTATCTAATATTCTCTGCAGTGTTAATTTTGTAGTGAAATCGACTTTCCTGTGTTACATACTGTGGTGATATTTTATTTGGAGTGTACTGTACGCGGCCTGCTGCCATCCCTTCCAGCAAAATTCTGGTAAGTGACTCGCTCCGAGGTTCCAATTCACAGAACGCAGCCGCCAAAAACGCTGAAACCAAGGATAGTTGCCCTTAATACCGGTTGAATTACCACCTCTTAGCTCGACGTCATTGTACTTGTATTTCTCGTCAAAGACTGATGTAGTTGATGTTATCTGTGAAGAGATCCGTGCTTATACTACGTTGATGAAGGTATTCGATGTTTGCAGATAAAGCGTAAAATGGGTTACCATTGTTTCAACCAAAGTTTATTTCAACTTGGTATATATTACCTTTTGACGTTAAGCAGTTTTATCAACGTCGTTGATAATTCGATATTCAAATAAGTGGTTACTTCGGTCACACATGGTGAGACGGAGAATTGTAGATAATCTGTGATCCATCATTTGTAGGAAAGCTATTTATGTTTAGGACAGGCGATAAGGTCGAGGAAAGTCTTGTCATTGTCACATGACGTCCCGAGTTTGTGAGTAAACACACGAAAGACATCACATGATTAGTCAACTATCGTAGTGTTTCTTGGGCATGTGTTGTTTGAATTCTTATAACATTTGAGTGTGCGTGCAGAGAAAGAACAGTTTCAGTAACCAGCTAATTTCATCGCACCACGTAGTATTGGAATTATCACTAGATCGATTAAAATGACTGGAAAATGTGATTTCCTTCCCTTCTTGCCTTTAATTTTAATATCAGGTAAGTGATTGGGCCAAAATTAAACTTTCATTTTGCCAATGTTATTTTTCTTTGTTAAATGATTGCCGGCATACTATTTTATTGGAATTTTCTGATTACTATTTGAAACTTAGTTTAAGGTATGTCGTATCAAAATTGCCAGTCAACGTTTCCAATTGTGTATAAATCAAGAGTTTTATCTGAATGAAGAATCAAGGACATATTCCACTTTTGCAGTGATATATAAATTCTAATTTGATATGAGGGCCTAACCCATCTTAAAGGTTTTTTAACTTGATAGGGACCATTTACTGACTGGCCATTCAGAGCTAGAGCACCTGTGTTGTAGGTATATCTGAAATATTTCCTGGGGAAACTCAACAGACAGCACAAAAGCATTTTACATCAAAATGAAATTTATTTGATTATTCGCAGGCAGTATAGTGAGGGCCTCTTGTAAGGAATTGTTTAAGAAATTTAATACTGTTCCACTTGCCAGTGAATTCTTGCTCTCTTTATTTATCATTTGTAGTGGACAACACTGAAAATTTTTAAACAAACTCAGATATCCACAGTATAAGTACAAGGTACAGATATGACCTTCATATGCCAAACATTGAACTCAGTAAATATCAACCTAACCAGAAATTCTCAGCCATTGTAAATACATGTGAGCAATAATGCTTTTTTGTGTAATTGTTGTTGTTGTAATTATAGTGTAGTTAACTGTGAACTACTGTCATGACTATGTAATTTATATTTGTATTAGAAACAAGTATTGTGTTTGTGCTAAGACATGTTATACATCCTTCTCATGTTAACTGACTTCCAGTGGATATTCAAGTGTTTACAAAATTCCCTTCTGGTGAGAACTGGGAAACATGTTGACTTGTTGCTATCATCACAAAAACCTGTTACTGAATCTGTATTTAATTTTTTGTAGGTTATTTTTTAGTTCCTATTTTATTAGTATCCTTCAATTTACTTCTTGATACTACAGTGGTATTTTCCTTTGAGCTCTTTAACCAAAATGTATACATTATTTTGTGGCCTTTCTATTAAATAACAATGAATTTGAATTTTAGCTTTTAAATAATTCATTGGATTGAAAGGTATATTCTTGGATGAGAGTTCATGGAACAAGTTTTATAAGCCTAAAATACAACTAGGCCATAGCTCATTAAGGAATGAAAGAAAGCATAATAAATTGTCTTTAGTACTGAAATAGACATATATGGTTTCATATTTCTAATTACATAGCAAGCCTTGCTCAATTTTTTAATAAGTAGATCAATATGATTCTTCCAAGTTAATGCACCATCAATCATAATTCCCAAGAATTTAGTACAGAAGATATTATTAATGAATTTATTATTATAACTTATTGTGACAGTATCTGACATTTTTCTCTTAATTTTAAAATTAATATAATGTGTCTTATTAAAGTTTAGTGATAATCTGTTCATTCTAAACCATCTATTTATATTTTCAAATGTTGCATGAATGTGTTTATTAAAGTCGTTTGTATTAGAATGAGAAAATAGGATGCTAGTATCATCAGCAAAAATTATAGGTGTAGCAAATTTAGTTATTATACTGGGTAAATCATTTATGTATAAAAGAAACAACAAAGGTCCCAATATAGACCCTTGTGGAACTCCATATCTAACTTTAAGCCAATCCGAGGCTGTATTGCTACTGTCATTAGTATGTAATACTGTTCTAATGTATCTGTTATTTAAGTAAGATTCATAAAGTGTAAGTAGTAGTAGTTAATAGTTTTGTTTCCAAGTGACTGAACTTATCTCATCATGTGTCAGTATTATAATAAATCAGTATCAGTTATATAAAAACTCATTTGTTTATTATAGCTTATAGACAGTATAAATAAATGTTTAATATTCAAACATGACATGATTCTTTTGGGTTGCACCATTGTCTCCTTACTTTTTCAAATTATCCTAAATATGTTTAAATTTTCTTATAATTCTCAGCAATTGATTGTTTACCTTAAAAGACCAATGGGTACTATATGTGGCACCTGCTTTAATATTCAGTATCTGCCTTTTGTGTTTATGGGTCTTGTATGATTCCTACTGTAAACAGGAATTATTTCTTTAAACAGCATCAAGAAAGTAATTATTGTAATGGTGAAGGGTTGTGTTATTTTGAGGTATGAACTGAATTCTTAAATGTTATTTAGATAAACCTCAGCTTCAAAAGCTTAAAGATACCAAAAATAATTTGCAATGTTCAAAATACTTGGTGATGTAATGAATAATTATTACATACTTTTAGAGATTTACATTATATTTGTAGACATAAGGTATTAAATATTATCACAAAAATTAATATCTCTTCCAGTCTCACTTACAGTTGCCTCTCACAGTTCTCAGACACCACCAAACTTCAGTGATTCATATACTGTTAAAGGAACATTGTACATCCCTTATGCAGAGATCCATGAGCCCTTCTATGCATGGTATGATTTGAAGCTTGGTTCTAGCCGAATTGATTATTATGGAGGTAAGTTGTGTTCACAGGTTGAAAGCCTATAACTTACTTATACATTCCATTTTCCCTTTCATTCATCTGTTCTCTTTTCATCATCAATTTAACCATTATTTTGTATCTGTTTGAAACTTGGCCTCTCACTTTAAGGAAAGAAGATGGAATTTAAGATTCAAATTAAAATATACACATTTGTCAGTTAACACAACTACAGTGTTTTGTATTAATTGTAGTATGACATGTTAAAGGTATTAAGCAGTTATCAGACACCATATACTGATACAACAGTTTTCTATTAACATATCATGCTTAGATATTTACTGCTCTGTTGGCACATATATAATATTACTTGTGACATACGAGGTGCGATCGGAAAGTTTCAAGACTGCGCCTATAAAAACCCGTACACTTATCTCAGGTATTAAATTTATCCATCACCCTCGAAGTAGTTCCCCTGGGAGTGAACACAACGATCCCAGCGCCGCTGCCAAGCCTGGAAGCATCCCTGGAAATCTTTCTTTGTCAGCCTGTCAAGCACCATCTGCGATTCTGTCTGAATCTCTTCTATCGTCTCAAATCTCCTTCCCTTTAGCTGAATTTTCATCTTTGGGAAGAGGAAGAAGTCACACGGAGCTTAGAAAGGGATTTGGGGTCGGTTCTTGCAAGATCTTTGAGCTCCTGACAAACGAGAAGTCGATTCTGCTTCTGGTCCTCAGACAGGATGCGTCGCATGGGGGGTTCTTCCTTTAGAATCAGCTGACAGGTCCCATAGCCTATCCCAACAATGTCGCATTAGTCGTTGATGGTACGACGTCGATCTTCGTAACTTTTTCGGGCGTTGTGCTCGAAGATGGTCGTCCAGAACGCTCGTCATCATCGACAGAGGTTCGGCCGGCCCTTTTTAAAACGTGAATGCCACACAAAAGTTTGCGGACTCCCCAAATGTTTGCTTTAGCATTTCATAGGTTTCCGTAGCGGTTTTGGCGAGTCTTTGGCAAAATTTGATGCACACGCGCCATTCCGAAATCGCAGGAGGGTCGGTGTAATGCACTACCAAAACGCCCGTAACTAAGAAACAAATGCTAATTCGATGATGCCGGCTGGCACACTGATTCACTATGAATGTAGGCCGCACCCCCTAGCGGCAGAAGCTCGTACTACATCCGGTTCGCCCTCTATTGACACAGTCTTGAAACTTTCCGATCGCACCTCGTATGCTTATGTTACTAGTATATTTATACCACCATTCAACCACAGTATCAACCAGGGTCATATTATCCAATAGGCACAGTAGGTACTGTGCCCAAGACCTGCAAACAAGTTTTGTTACCTTTTTTATATTTGTATGATAAAACTTGTAACAAACGTATCACAATGTCACATACACCAATTTGCTATCAGAAAAAATTATCTAGATACTTTTGTTCATCAGTTTGCCCATAGAAATTGTTAGACCCATAAAAATGCATCCATCAAGGGGCATACAAAACAGTGCCTGTGGCCTACAAGGACCTTAATCCAGCCCTAGTATCAACTATTAATTAGCCATTAATATTGAATTAATGGATTCTTTTTTCTTTCTGTGAGGCACTTTTGTAACAACTTGTCCTTTCAACACCACTTATGAATTTGTTACACTTGATAACAAAGAGGCATATGCACTTGAACTCACTTTACAGTCACTTGTCTTGTTTTATCACTGAAATGTAGAGCTTATTACTAGAGTGTAGTCTTCATTTTGATCCACGATAACTGACTCAGGTTTATTGTGTTACACCAAAATTTTACCTTTCTTAACTTTTGTTCTTTTACTTTTGTAGGTACATTGTGCTGTCTTCTGTGACTAAGAATTTAACAAACCTCAGTAATTATAAAAGTTATTTATCCAACTTGTGTATGTCTTACGAAGCAAGGGTTCTTCTAATATCACTACTATGATAGTTTTATTCATGTCTTTAATGTTCAGAGGGGACTGTTTCTGCATTTTTCCCTTTGTATTCATACAGCCAGAAAAACATTCACATAATTCAGAGGAATTATTTATGCTGAGTTCAGTTGTATATGTAGTTCTTCAGAAATGTCTTATTGTTTAAAGAATGTATTTAAATGAGTTGCTATAACAAAAGAGTTTAAGTCTTGGAAAACTATTCTGTACATGTTTTTTCATTCTGGAGCACATCAAGACAATATGAAGTAGGGACTGAGATAATGTCTGGTACCAGAATTCTAAAATATTTATGCACTTGCCATTTTTGGTTGAGTTTTTCATTGTAAGCAGGTTATAAGGTAGTTGAACTTCAGTAAATGTGATTTTGGAATTACGTAGTGTTAGTTACCATGAAACACAGTTTGGAGATCAAGTCATCTGTATAAAATCTATAAAACAATGACTTGCTGGAAATGTATTTCAGTGGTGTTAGGTGTCTGGAACCACGGGATGACAAATGCAATTCCTTTGTTGCTGTTTAAGGAATGGTGAAAACATACCAGCTAAGCAAGTTTGGTGAGTTTGGCTCCAGCTTGAAAGTAGCACCAGTGACAACAGAAAAAGTGCACAATTTGGATTCTTGCCTACAAGTCAATGGAAGCAGTGAGAGTCGAATAGAACCCCAGAGTATTCTGCCAGATCTAACAGGTTTCAAGGTATGATACATCATGGGTGATAATTAATTTTCTGTTTCTTTTCCATTAATGCAGCCATCTTGATTGATTATAAGCACTGTCAGTAAAATATATTCATTCATTTATTAACTTACAAAATTTGTGGCTACATGTTTTGACATAAGTGCATCATCATCTGTAAGTCATAATTACAATTCAGCTACAGCTGAATGCTACACATGACACAACATTTTGATTCTGCATTTAATTGAATCTCTTCATCATAAATGTGAAATGCTGTGGCTGATTGGTCATATTGCTGACAAATGAAGGCATATTCAGACTTCATAAAAGGTAAACAAGAATGAGAAGAAACTAAAATGGTTTGAAATGAGAAATATTATTTTTGTGATCGATGTTTCAGCTTCTGTTTATTTTTGTTATAGTTCCTTGGTGAAGAACTGGTAAATGGCCTAACATGTGAGAAATGGCAGTTATTGGAAACAAAGGGCATGAAAGTCAACAAATATACTATGTGGATTCGTTACAAGGCAAGTGTATGACTATCTTCATCAGAGGAGTTGGTTGATTTAATTTGTAGTGTCTTACTCTCTGTTGAGTTGTGTCGTACATAGCTGTTGCCTGTGCTTATTTTGAGTAGGAGCCTAGAATATTACAGTATATATAACTCAAAAAAGGATGTAAAACATTATCTTTACTCTTGCTCATCTTGAATAGTGATTTTGGTCAGAATGTATCAGTCTCATGAACTTGTCTGTCAATTTATCCTTGACTTTAAATATGCACTCCTTATATGTTCTATGAAAAATCTTAGTAAGGAATTGTTCTTAGAAGTAAATTCTTCATAAAAGTCCAACTAATACTTAATTTTAATGTAGAACTTCTAACTTAAGATATGCTGATTGAAATATGACACATATGTGATGTGGGGTGGGGGGACACTTATTTTGATGTAACTTGAACTGGGTTACAGTCATCAAAATTGCTTTGATGATATCTCTAGCAAACATTGTAGTATGTAATGGCAATTGACAAATTCTGGGAATGGCCATGTCTTAACAAAGATATTAACATACTTTCCACAGCACAAAAAAGAAATAACAATACAGCAATTACAAAGTGTTCAACAAAACAATGCTGACACCAACAACAACAGACAGAACCATACCATGCAAAAGCAAACCTGATATCACATATGAAGACAGAAAAGGGTCATGTTTGCTAGTTAACCTTTCTGTACCAGTTGATAGAACTGTATTGAAGATAAAAGCAGAAAGAATATTAAAATACAAAGATCTTATGATTGAAATACAGTGTTTGTGAAAGGTGAATATGATGATAATGATTTAGGGGCTTTATTTTAAAATGCTGTGAGTCCTTCAAATATAAACATGAGCTATGTATGGCAACACACACCATACCTGAGATAAATTGTCTCCTTTTAAATGGTTTTGATTCCACTTTCAGAACTGCTGAAAAATATGCCTTTTATTCATAGTGCTATCTATGTTTATCAAAACATTTTGTTTAAAATTGAGTGAGTCAGTGCCAGTGGCCCATTTCATTTATGATGCTGTTATTGCTTTGGAAAAAGCCAGAGTATGACAAAATGAATGATGTAGTATACAAATTGTTTCCCTCCCATACTCACTTCCAGTTGTTTGCCTATTTTTCTTCAATTATTTTTGCTGTAGCTCAGTATTGTTGAAGCTTATCATTACCATGTTTCTCATTCAAAATGCTTCAAGTTCATGCTTTTTTGTTCAAAATGCAGGAAATGTAACACTAGCAAGAATATAGAGCATTTTTAAATACCTTGGGAGTTTAAAAGGAAACAATGCAATGATAATATATGTATTCCAAAAGAATTATAACCACACTTGTGCATAAGTTTTTCACCATATTTCACAATCTTTTATGAAGGAAAGCTCCTCACTTGTTGGTGAAACTGGATGTGTAGCATGATCATTACAAAAGAGTTTAGCTGACATTCCTGGTAGTCTACAGCATGGAACTACAAATGGGCACACATCTTGAAGATATTAGTATAACAAATGAATTTTCCAGAAGTTTCTACATAAGGGGCATTGAGGATAAGGTTTGACCCTGGCTTATGGACAGATACCCTGCAAGATGGTATGATGATGATTATAATGGCAACAGTAAGAATGATGACAAGAAATTAATTCAAGTAAATGTTCTAATGTAAAGGATGGTTGATTTATGAGATTACAGAATATCTAAAAGTGACTTTTCATATAAATTGTACAGTATTGCTTGAAGTAAAATATAAATAGATTCAAAATTAAATGATTAGAATTACTGACTAGCAGAGACTGAAAAAATTGTCATTTTCTGCCAGGTTCATCTGTGCCCTTGGTTTCATTGTAACATACAATATCACTTTTGCATTATAATGATTATATTCACTGACTTTGTTTTCAGAAGTCTCCTAAGATACAAGGAGTGAAAGTATCTATCCCTGTCCGATATGAGATGAAAGGTTATAATTCTCTCTTAGGCTCACATTATGATCACTACTACTTGGAATATGATTGGTTCTCTTCTGACACACCTAATCCAAATGTGTTCAGAGTTTCTGACAGTAAGTTTTCATTTCATATTTAGCAATATGTGACATAATAATCATGTAAAATGGTGACATATACAAATTTAAAATGGCATTTTAATTATATGTGTTCTTCATGGTTGGTTTCTTTTAGACATGACCTGTACTAGCTTTCCAGGTCCAGGTGACAGACATATCTACACTTTTAACCCAATAAAGGAATTTATACACAACTATGATGATCATGTGGAAACTGCATTTGATCATTTTAAACACAGACATGACAAAGATTATTCTGATGAATTGGAAAATGCCCAAAGAAAGGAGACTTTCCGACAGAATTTGAGGTAAAAATCTGCATCATTTTGTGTGTCAGGTATTTTTAAACACTAACTGTGATATGAAAATTCTCCACCTGTACCTCCTATTTTGTGAAGGTGGGCTGTGAGAAATATAAGAACCACTAAAACATCTCATTTAGATCTCCTTATTAAGCTTTCAGTACTTTCTAATAACTGTGCACATGGACTGAATTTGTGTAGGTTTTGTCTTTTCATAATTCTATGGCACGTTGGTAACTAACTCTGTGGAATTGGGTCCTTTAAAAGCTTGTTGTTACTCAGTTGGTCAAGAAATTCCTTGCCTTTTATGGAACATAAAGATTCATTATTGTGTTCACCAGAGCCTACCATTTGTTTCTCATCATCTTTTTAAATATAAATACAATGGATCTCTGCATTTACACATTTCTGAGGATTAATGAAAATTGCAAGAAGGTGCAAATTGCAGGAAATTTAAAAATATTCGGTCTGAAGGTTTCTGACAATTGTAAAATTGTTCTTTTGGACTCTGTCCATCATATAAATAATAAAATCATATAACTGTCATGTTTCATAAGCTGTACTCTGCTTCCATCTTCAGGTGGGAGAAGAGGACAGAAAGCTATTTGTTGTGCTCCCTGGTTGAGCTAGCCTCAGATCTGAACAGCTCAAGCTAGCTAACCAGAGGGCCCAGCAGATAGAATTTCTGTCCTATTTTCTACCTTTTCTTCCTGAAGTTGGAAACAGAATTCACCTTCTGAAACATAGTAGTTTTGTTATTTTGTTGATGGACAAGTCAAAAAACTATTTTACATAAAATTAATAAATTATCACTTCTCTTGTCAGGCTGAAATTTTTGTTGAAAATATCAATTTTTATCAAAATAGTGTATATTTTAAGGTGAACTTTTGTCATTCCTCAGGAAAATTCATTTCCAAGATGTCACAACATAATGAGCACAAATGGAAAAATGAAAATAAAATTGCTATCACCTAAAATCTTGGAATACAAGCCAGACCTTATCATCTCCATTTTTCCCTTGGTTTTACGCAATTGTACATCAGACTAGTGTATTTTGTGAAGGAATAAGTTCACTAGGGTGTATCAAATGAAAGTTATAAAGTTTTTGTTGCTTTAGCATTGCTACTGTAAAATTGCTATTCCAACATTCATAACATCTATTATGTGTATTTTGCTTTGCTTGCAGGTTTATCCATTCAAAGAATCGAGCTGGTCATAGTTTCCAGTTAGGTGTGAACCACTTGGCTGATCGAACAGACTTGGAATTGAAGGCCCTTAGAGGAAAGCAATACTCTAGAGGTTACAATGGTGGTGCCCCTTTTCCTTACACCCACCTTGATAGAATGTTGAAGGATCTTCCTTCTAACCTGGACTGGAGACTCTATGGGGCTGTCACTCCAGTTAAAGGTATTATCTAAACTGAGAAACACATATCAGTAAATAGGTCCATAATATAGTTATGTTTAAACCCTAACCTGACGTACAGAGGTCACAAAAAAAGTTGTTTAAGACACAAAGCTTGATCTGTGGGAGATAGGAGTTGAAGGCGATTGGATTTTGTTGGCCCAGGCAGGAACTGGTGGAGGGCTTTAGTTAATTTGGTGATGAACCTTAGGGTTCCGTAAGCCATCTAGTTAGTTAGATCTAATATATTTATTTTATTAGGCCATGCCATAGCTCTGGTAATTAGATGCTAGCTTCTCACTGCAGGTACTTGTGTACCCCAGGTGACTTCAAATGAGATTGTGAATGACAAAGTGGAGTACATTTTTGTCCAAGTTCTTTGATTCTACCCTGCTAATGCCACTTTTTATAATGAAAATAAGTTTAGATTTGTATAACAAAGAGAAAATTACAGTTCTTGTTTCAGAAGTGGATTTCCATTTGTGCACTGAACAGTTTTGTGTATGGTAGTGTGCACTTATATGAAAGATATTTTGCCTAGACCATTAAATGAGTGTTGTACCTAAAACCATAAGTTGTTGGAATCTCCATTTCTAGGTTTAAGAAATGAGTGGACCAACATTCCATTTTCCCTTGTAATTTATATTCTTATAGAGAAGGAAGAGAACATACTACATGTATTCCACAACTCATAAAATAGGCTACCAGCAAGCAGTTCATTCCATTATGTTGATAATATATTGGCTTTTGGGTGAAGTATCAGAATGTTTTGAAATCAGTTTACATATCTGGTATGGAATAAGCAAGGGTTATGGTACTTTTATTTAGATCAGTCTGTGTGTGGCTCATGTTGGAGTTTCGGGACAACAGGTGCCATTGAAGGAGCATACTTCCTGAAGTATGGTCATCAGGCACGACTGTCACAACAGGTAAGATGTAGATTTGCAGTGTTTTGGGTACTGGCTGCATGGACTGATACCCACATCTACAACATGTCCAAGCAGATTCTAGGTAACAGTATTTCATATGCATTCTTTCGTGGAGGTGACTAAATGATATTCCCTGCCCAGACAGGTACACATGTACCCTCTTGAGGAGTTCTTGACCCTGACATCACTGGCAGTGTTTGCAAAGGTTGAAGGTCAGATCCTGGTAAACTCAGCTGAATTGTTGCACTATGCATACTTTCCCCAACTTGTCAACTGAAATTACTTCTATTCATTGTCATCACTGTCACTATTCTCATTTTTATCTGACCATTTTACTTCATTCAGATTCCACAAGTTTTCACAAATTCTTCACTTTCTAAAGTGCTTGAAATATAACTGGACATTGAAGGTGTTCAGTACTTGTTACTGTGGTTGCATACTGAAGTTCCTACTCATTCACACAGTAGTTAGGTAACTCCCAAGACATAAATACAGATGTGAACAAGGAATGGACATACATATAATGACAGGATTTAATGGCAGAAAATAGTGTAAATGAAACACACAAGTATGAAGCACAAATCAGGTCCTGTACATGTGAGCCTGACAGGTCTCTTGGACCATAACAGCACCTATATAAATCTAATGAAAACATAGACAAAAAACTGATTTTTATATTGACTGACAATCCATTATTTAACTGCAAAAATAAAATAATCTCTATCATATAGCAGCATTGCAGCTGCCTATGTAGAGCCTGTTTGTTTTCACTGTATTCTGTTACACGTTACTAAAAATAAAGCTTACTGCATAAAAACAAAAGACATATTTTTTCCCTGCAAAATAACATCAAAAATTCTGGTATCTCACATTATATGAAATAATGACTGTAAACTATGTACTGTGAGTAATCTCACCATTCCACATTATACAATATGAATAGTCCAATGAGCAAACTCGGCACTGTGTTAAAGCTCTAAAGTCTGGGCAGTGATTGGTAAAGGAAGCACATTCATTACTTATAAGGCATTATAAGGCAGCTTTATGGGTCATAAGAATATCTCACTTTGCTTAAACAATAAAGAGATTTTACAAAATTTTCCATGCAGTATTTGTTTTTTGCATTGTTCCAATTTGATTGGCCTGTTTTCCATACACATTAAAGGTCATCTATTATTTTTGTATATATAAAAGGACATCACCTTGTTTCCAGGCTTTGATTGACTGCAGTTGGGGTTATGGAAACAATGGATGTGATGGTGGTGAAGATTTCCGCTCTTATCAATGGATGATGAAACATGGTGGGATACCACTTGAAGATGAATATGGTGGCTACTTAGGTCAGGTATGTAGTTACTCATCATTTAACCAGAAAAGCTTTGCAAATTAAATACAAAGATCTAATTTAAAAAATCTAAAATAATTGTGGACTGACATGGTTCCTATATCAAACTCTAAATAGGGTCTATACCTGGAGAGAAGGGAAGTTGCAGAAGCTCCAAGGTCCAAAGATCCATTCCTGATCAGACATCCATGTACCAGAAGAGACCTATGAGCTGGTGGTGCATGATTACAGTGGAATAGCCAGTTTCCATTTTCTCAAGGATGAGGTCATGTGTGGCATGTAGTGTTTCATATGATCATGAATGTCTGTGTGCATGGTGTTCTTGATGTTAGGCATTGCTGGAGTTAACTCATGATGAACAGTCATCATCCTTGAGAATCTTGAAGCTATCTGCTATACAAGTATCAGACTAAGAATCGTATCACCTACTTTTCACAACCTCCCTTCTTTCCACTGTAGCTTTGGTACATCAAGCAATACAAATTGATTATTAGCATGAAACCACCTCCATTAATATGCATTTCTCACACTGTTACATTGACTTAACATACTTCGGAAGTTTGTAATTAGAGATTGAAAATTCCAATTTATATTCATTATAAAATACAATTAGAAACAAGAGTATGTGAAATTAATCACATCTGAGACTGCACTATCAGAAGAATGTTAATGAGAAATTTGGTACTATTCTAAAAGTAAGTCTGGTGTATGTTACTTGAATATTGTAACTCAAAGGCATCTGCACCTTGTTACATTGTTGTAAAATACTGAAAGTCAGCATTGTGCACTGAGGCAAAAATTGTTCTGTATGTATATAGTAACTGAGCAGTGTGTGGAAAGTATGTAGAAATTGTAGCCATTTGTGACTTTAACTGAAAACAAACATTATTGTCCTTGCTATTTATCAGACTTATGCGTAGGATGGTACAAAATGTAGAACAGCATCCAAAGAATCCTCCAGAATTTTAAACCATACTACTCCCCCCCCCCCCCCCCCCCCCACCCCACACAACCCACCCCCCCCCCCCCC